ACCATCGTCTGGGCATCCCAACTTCCGCATGCTCTCCGAGCTTGCGTCTAAGAAGTTGCTTCTTCACCTGCCCGACACACTTCCTCCACCCTCCACTTCTCCCGCTCCTCCATGCTTGGACTGCGCGCAAAGCAAACTACGCCAGTTGCCTCACCCTTCCTCGCCCTCTGCTGCAGCCGCCCCGCTTGACCTCGTCCACATGGACGTCTGGGGCCCAGCTCCAGTCCGCTCTCGTGGCGGGCACTCTTACTTCCTATGCTCGTTGACGATCACTCTCGCTATGCCTCCGTCCACCTACTCTCCTCCAAAGCAGCTGTTCCAGATGTCGTCATCGCATGGCTTCGACAAGCCCAAAATCATTTCCGCACTTCAGTCAAGTGCCTCCATTTCCGATGGCGGTGGCGAATTTCGAAACCATTCCCTTCAAGCGTTCTGTGCCTCCCAAGGCATTCGCCAGACCTTCACCCTTCCCCACAGTCCGCAGCAGAATGGCATTGCCGAAAGTCGCAATCGCACTCTCGTGCAAATCGCCTCGCTGTCTCTCACTCACGCTGGTGCACCACCTTCCCTTTGGGGTTACGCCCTCCTTCATGCCACGCTGCTGTACAACCTTCACCCTCACCCTCTTCGGCCTGCCATCACTCCCGCTGAACTGTGGACCGGCACCAAGCCCAGTGCACGTCCTCTCCGCGTATGGGGGTGTACAGCTTATTCCTCCTCAACCCTCAGGAACGTCGCACCCACGGCGGCAAATTTGCACCCAAAGCTCAACCCTGTGTCTACCTCGGCCACAACCTGGACTCTCCCGATTACCTTTTCCTCAATCTCTCCACCAATCAGCTCATTCGCAGCCGCGATGTCGCCTTTGACGAGAGTCGCCCTTTTTACCTCTCTTCACCACCCCCCACCGCTCCACCTTCGCTTGTGTGGCCGATTTCGATACTTCACCCACCCCACCTCCTCCCTCTGCTGCTCCTGCGGCCCCCTCACTCTCACCTTCCCCATCTCCTTCCACTCTCTCTCACCCCTCTTCGCCCACTGGCTCAGTTGCCCGTTCACCTCCGCCCGCGCCTGCACTTCCCCCTGCACCGCTCCTGCAGCTGCCCCTCCACCTCCCTCTCCTTCTGTGGCTCCCCTGCCCCCCGCCTCCCTCCCCGCCTTCACCTCCGCTTCCGCCTCCAACCTCCACCTCTCCTCCCGACTCGCCCATCACCTATCGTCGCCGTCGCCACGACGCTCTTATGTCGATGTCCCACCTGCTCCCCGCCCACCTCCCTCCTCTCCTGTCCCTATTGCTCACCGCACCGCTCTCATGGTCCCGCTCCGCCTCTCGCCCTCTCTGTTCGCATCTCCCTCAATCCGCCTCCTCCTGCCGGGGGTGCATCCATGCCTGCCTCTTGGAGGATAAGGCATGAGGAGCTGATTGAGATCAATGCTGCCATCCGTCAGCTCTGCCATCTCTTCCCCGACCTTGCCGACGCTCCAACTCTTAACTCTCGGAAAATCCATCCATCCCGACCCCGAACTCATATGATGAAGCCATCTCTGGACCACACTCCCCCAAGTGGCTCGCAGCCATGATCGCGGAGTGTGAAGCATTCATTCGCAAACAACTCTTTCACGGACGTCTCTCCTCCGCGAGGAGTTAACATTGTCCGTGGCAAATGGGTTTTTCGCGGTCAAGCAGCTGCCTGGCGAACTCCCAGTCTTCAAGGCGCGATACTGTGCAAAAGGCTTCACGCAGAAGAAGGGCCTGGACTTCTTCGACACATTCTCTCCGACAGCCAAACTGCCCACCTTCGGACCCTGCTGGACATCGCTGCTCGATGCAACTTTGACGTTCCATCCATGGACGTCTCTGCTGCATTTCTCCAAGGGATCTCCCCGAGGACATCTACATGGAACGTCCTCAAGGATTTCCCTTACCCTTTCCACCCGGCACGGTCTGGAAGCTGAAATCGACCAGTCTACGGGTTGAAGCAGGCTCCTCGGGAATGGCACAAGAAGCTGAAAGCAACCCTCGAGTCACTCGACTTCCACCCCTCCTCAGCCGATCCGAGTCTCTTCATTCGCAAGAACGACAGCCCGTCTTCATCCTTGTCTACGTTGACGACATGATTCTCGTCTCCAAGGACTCCGATCAGCTGGCAGCTGTTAAGCAAGCTCTTGGGGACGCTCTCGCCATGAAGGACCTCGGTGAACTCAAGAACTACCTTGGGATGGAAATCTCGCGGATCGCGAAGCTCGAACCCATCACTCTCTCTCAAGAGTTCTATGTGAACAACGTCCTCAAGCGTTTTGCCATGGACAACGCCAAGCCAGTGGCCACTCCCCTTCCCTTGCAGCATGATCTGACCCTCCATCAATTCCATCGCCTGAGCCTTGTGATGAGGCATACCCCGAGCTCGTCGGATCACTCATGTATGCGATGATGTGCACAAGGCCCGACCTCGCCTACCCCATCAGTGTGCTCTCGCGTTACGTTGCTGCCGGTCGATACACCAATCGCCACTGGTCGGCTGCTAAGCGCGTCCTTCGCTACCTCCAAGCCACCAAGGACTACGTCCTCACTTTCGGTGGCACGACCCCTCCTCACCTCGAGGGATACAGCGACTCCTCATGGGCTGATGATCAAGCTGACCGCCGCTCTTCCCAAGCTATTGCTTCACCCTTGGCAGTGGTGTCATCAGCTGGCGATCTACACGCTCATCATCCGTCTCATTGTCATCTTGCGAGCTGAGTTATACGCAGGCACCATGGCAGCCCAAGAAGCTCGATGGCTTACCTACCTCATGGCTGAGCTCGGGTATCCTCAGCAGACCCCGACTCTGTGGTGTGATAACGAGAGCACTATCCACCTCACCAAAGATCCTGTCTTCCACCAACGAACCAAGCACATCGAATTGAGACACTTCTTCATGCGCGAGCTCGTCCAGCGAGGGCAGTTGTGCGTCAAGCATATTTCCTCTGACTGCAACCTCGCCGACTTGTTTACGAAGGCTCTTGGACGCCGTGATCACTATCGTCTCCTCCGTACCATGGACTTGGCGTCCCTACGCTTCCGACGTTGCAGCCTAGGGGGTGTGTTAGAGATAGGCTGCAATTCGTTGGCACAATTTTGTGTGTTGACACTTTGTTGGTTTTAGGATACTCATATTTGTTAGTTGGGTGTAGCATATGTTTTCATCCCCAACCTATCCCAACCCAATCCATCCCAAATCCCCACGATTTGGGAGGATTCCCTTGGATTCCCTCCGATTCTCCCTTATCCCTTCCCATCCTCTCCGAGCTCGGTACTTAAGGATGTATGCTCTTGCTCATTTCAATCAATCAAGTTCTCAGTTTCTGATAGTTTCCGCCCTAGCGATCTGGCCCGCAGTGTCGTTTGCGTGTCGTGGGGGCTGTGGTAACGCCACAGAGGCGATAGCCTCTTCATAGAGTGTCGCCCATTCCCCGTGGCGAAATCCCGCAGACGTCGTAACATGCTCTCCCAGTCGGGTTTCCTCGTCGAAGCTGTCGCCAGGGTCAGGCGCGGCAGAAAAAGGAGCAGGCGCCATCCGTTTTGCGAGTGGGGTGCCCGGGACAGGTGGACGAGCGGTGTCAGGAGGCAGGAGGAAAGCCGCCTGGATTTCGCGTGGAGGCGACGGGCTAGGGGTGGCATGCGACAATCTCGCAACTTCGCGATGTCCCACTCCCCGACATTCGCGAACAGGTCTTCGCGCTTGGCGAGTGTCAGGGGGGAGAGGACACGCCTTGCTGGCGTTGGCCGGCGGGAACCTGCCGGGCCGCGGCGGGTATTGGATGGGGCGGCCCGTCGTGTGGAATGTGCTGCCACATTCGCGCCTCGGGCAGGGGATTCGTCTGAAATTTCCTCTTCCGAGTCGCTTCCCAGTTTACCCCCGCTGGGGGGGTATAACTGGGGTCATTTGTGATCTGATAATCAGCGGCTGTTCCAACTCCTCCTTCCTCCCCAGTCCAGCCCGTCCTCTAACTGCTCCACTTGTTATGTCTGCCCTGCGCTTCCCTTCGCTAGCTCGACATCGGCCTGACCGTCCCGCGACCCCAGCATTGCTAGTTGCAGGTGTGTTTGTGCGTCGCGCCGTTCGTTGGCCGGCTGCCCAGTTGTTGCCGCGAGTCTGTTCGCCTCGCGCTGCAGTCGTTCCGCGGTACGGCGGAAGGAGCGGCCTCCCTTGGTTGCCAACTTCATGTTTGTCCCGCTGTCTCCGTCCGCCCCCGATACGTTTGGTCTCCGTTGCTCGCTCGCGTGCGTTCGGGGCGGTGCGTTGCGCGGTGGCGGTCTCGCGCTCGTCGCTCCGCCTGTCACCGCGGTGGTGTCTCCCGTCGTGCGGATGACGCAGGGGCAGCTGCTGTCCCCGTCGCGCCGTCCTCTGTGTGAGGGGGCGTCTTCGCCGGCACGCGTTTTTCCCTTGTCCGGCGTGTCGAGTGTGCTGTCCCCGACCTCTGTGCTGCGGATTGAGCTTCGCGAGCAGGCGGCGCAGGTGGCCGTCTTGACGCGCGCTCTCCAACAGCTGCAGCGTTCGCAGCCCTTGGAGGGGGTGGGTCCTGGTCCACCCTGTCCCGCTCCCCATCTTCAAGCTCGCGCTTGGGATCTCCCATGCGTTATTCGCCTCCGCGACCGTCGCATCCTGGCCTCCACCATCCGCCTGTCCTCTCCTCCCCGTCCCCTCCTCCTCCTGCGTCCTTCGCCTCCCTCGTTACCCGCGCTTCCCCCTCCGTCTGGGCTGCCTCCTCCTCCTCCTCTGCCGCCAGCGGCACCACCAGCCGCTGGCGGATGTGGCGGCGTTGCGGGTCCCAGCAGGCCCAGCGTTTCTCCCCCGGAGCCGTCGCGGCCCCAGCAAGCGACTTCGCGAGGGCTTCCTGGAGGGCTCTCCGCCAGCGTCACCTCCCCCGCGCCGCCTGAAAAACGAAAGTCGACTCCTCCGCCTCCCCCTCGCTTCCCCGCGGGCCGTGGAGCGGCGAAGCAGTCCCGAGGGACATGCCCGCTTCAGGCCCTCCCAAGGGGGGCCACTCTAGCGGTGACGCCTCGTTCACTTTCCCCAGGTAGGCCAGTGCCTGTCCTCTTTGGAGGGTGACGGACCAGCGCTGGCGAAACTGGCTAAGTAGTTTCGCCGCCTGGTACGAGGAGGGTCGGCATTGAAAAGGCGCCGGGCGGCCGTTGTGTGCCAGGAGTTTGAGGAAGGCCGGCACTTCCGCGCAGGGGCAGCCGTATGTCTCAACGGCCAGCGGGAAGAAGCCTACGTATTCTGCCCTGTGGCGGTACATGTCGGTCTTCTCTCTCTCTCTCTCTCTCTCTCTCATCGCTCTCTCTCTCTCTCTCTCTCTCTCCTCTCTCTCTCTCTCTCTCTCTCTCTCTCTCTCTCTCTCTCTCTCTCTCTCTGTTGCCGTTGTTGCCAACCTCCGTTCTCGATCCTCCTCCCTCGCTCACCCGCTCCCCCTCTCTCCCCCCCCCCCCCCCCTTTTTCCACCAGCTCGCCTGCTCCTGGCCCTGCATCCAAAAACTGCCCACTCATGCACTTTACCCTCCCTCCCCACCGTCTCCCCCCCCACGCGCACCCACTGGGGCTTTCTTTCTCTGTGGGGGCAGCAAACCTGTGCTGCAACTCCCTCAACGGCCCCATCCCTGCCTCCTTCAGCGGCCTTGCCTCCCTCGCCTATCTGTGAGATGGCCGCACCTGTAGCCTGTAGGCTGGGATTTGCGCTCTGTTCGGTTCGGTTCGGTTCGGTTCAGTTCGGTGTCTCTCTTGCCCACTCTTCACTTGCTTGCACCCACAAGTCCTCTCCATCGTCCTCCTCTGCGATCCCCATCCGTCTTCTCCCGCTCCCGTTTCCAACTCTCTCTCTATCCCCCTCTCACCACCGCTTGTCTGCAGCGACCTGCAGGAAAACGCACTGAGCGAGGCAATTCCGGATGCCATTTCGCTCATGACCGCTCTTACAAGCCTGTGCGTGCTGAGAGAATCTGAGTTTTGACCGACCGCAGCAGCGAATCGGACATGTATAGTGCTAGGGTGCTAGCGGTGGGTAGAATTTGGCAAAAAAGCAGGCGCTGTGCGTTTCGCTCACGACCACTCTTACAAGGCTGTGCGTGCCATGCTGTTGGCATTTCTGCAGAAGCATGTGCTCCCATGTCTCACCTCCCTCGCGTCTCATCCCCCTCACGTCTCATCCCCCCTCACGTCTCATCCCCCTCGCGTCTCTCACCCACACATGCCTTGCCTTCTGCCATTTTTTAGTTGACTCCGTGTCTGAACTCGGCATTGCATGCGTTGCGTCTCACTCCACGTATCTCTCTACGTATCTCTCCACGTATTACTCCGCGTATCACGATCACTCCACATATTACTTCGCATATCACTATCACTCCGCGTAACACACCGCATATCACTCCACATATCACTCCACATATCACTCCGCGTAATCACTCGCGAATCACTCCTTGCTCCCACGAGAACACCTGTCAATGCTACAGGCGTCATGCTACAGGCGTCATGCCTCATGCCTCTTCATCTCTCACTGCTCGTACCACATCGTTGCCCCATGTCCCCCACTTCTCACAATCCTTCCCTTCACCATGCCCCCTTCCCTTCACCATGCCCCATGCGCCAATGCCCCACGTCCTGCATGTCCCAACGCCGGCACGTCGCCCCTCAGCTACCTGTCCAGCAACCGGCTCAGTGGAGGCATTCCCCCGCCATCGGCGCCCTCACCTCCCTCCAACAACTGTGAGCGCCACCCACACAGAAGCAAGCTGACGGCACAAGGCTTAAGGTGCGAGGCTGTTTGAGGTGTGGAGTGACTGGGAATGCTGCTGAAGGATAAGTGCATGCATGCATTGAAGGGCATCACATCGCAACTAATCCGTGCTCTTTCTGTCCAGAAGACCTTCTTCCAGTCAAGCAAAACAGAACAGATTTCTCTCGCTCGAATTCATTGATAAGAGCTTGGAGCATGGAATGCGACTCATTTGATACGAGCGTAGATGCCTATGCTGTGCTCTGCTCTCTCCCCCCTCGCCCTGCCCCACCTTTCCGCCCCCACCTCTTACCGTCTCTGCACTGCACTGCTCGCATGCTCCTCAAGCAGCTGTCTCTCCCACAACATGCTCACAGAAGCCCACAACAGTCTCAAAAGTCGATTTTCGAGGCGCCTCAGAAACAGAATGCCATCTGTGCCTTACTGTCTGCCTGTGTGCAGATTTCTGTCCAAGAACATTCTTGCAGAAAGCATTCCAACGGAGATGGGCAAATTGCTGCAGCTTCAGTCCCTGTCAGTGCACTGCTTGATTCGTTCATGGATCCTTTCACTGTTCCATTCTACATCGCACTTTTTGGAGCTATCACTCGTATGCCATTGCATTGCTCTCGCTCTCTCATTCCCCTTGCTCCTCCCCACTTCCTCCTCTTGCTCCTGCTCTTCTCCCCTCCACCTGTACCTTCCCCGTCGTTGCTCACGCTGCTCTGCTTTTTGCAGGAATAGAAGCAGCTACGCTTGTGCACGCACACACACATGCACAACGCACAACCTTTGTCCTTAAAAATACCCCCCCTCCTCCCCCGCCGCCTCCCCACCCCTTCTCCACAGGCACCTTGACAACAACGAGGTGGTGGGCAGCATTCCCGACGCCCTGAGTGCCCTCACAAACCTGGATCACTTGTCAGACCTTCCTCCTTCCCTTCCCTTCCTTCACACCCTCTCTCTCCCCCCCATCCACCCCTCCCCTCCCCTCCCCTCCCCTTCCCTGCCTCCACCATTCCATGTCGCAATAGCACCTTCCATCCAGCCCTCTCTGCACTCCAGCCGTCACATGATCTGATCTGATCTGATTGATCTGATCTGATCTGATCTGATTGATCTGATTCTGATCTGATCCATGAAATGGCTCCCCTGCATCTCCCTCCCTCCCTGGGCCTTGAGTCTGCCTTGACTCTGCCTTGAGTCGGCCTTGAGTCTGCCTTGAGTCAGCATCACCCTGTGCTGTGCATGTGCTGCCGTCCACTCTCGCAGGTCCATGGCTGCCAATCACTTGGTGGGCGCCGTCCCCAACTTCCTCACCTCCTTCGTTTTGCTCACACACCTGTCAGTCTCCCCTCTCACACACCTGTCAGTCTCCCCACTCACACACCTGTCAGTCTCCCCTCTCACACACCTGTCAGTCTCCCCTCTCACACACCTGTCAGTCTCCCTCTCACACACCTGTCAGTCTCCCCTCTCACACACCTGTCAGTCTCCCCTCTCACACACCTGTCAGTCTCCCCTCTCACACA